AGTTTTTTTTTCTCCTGAGCCCTCCAAACCACAAAAACCACCATCAACTATATTTTTATGCCTTAAGCTCAGGAGTTTTTTTTCACTGCTGGTCGGATTTGTGTTTAATCGCTTCCCTTGACAATGCCTGTAAACTGGCATTCAATTAAAATTTATATTTATATTTATAACTGGCGCGGACGACAAATCTCCGAAAGCACCCATACAAATTGAAGACGGAACATGCCAGATTCGATTTGCGGGCTAAATTCTTCTCTCACCGGCTGGTTGAGGGATGGAACAAATTGTCGAACTCCGTTGTCTTAGCGGAGGATGTCGAGACTTTCAAAAGAAGACTAGATAAACTTATGCTTTATCGTCAAAGATTTACATGATATCAATGACTGGCATAACTGCTACATAACTGTATGTAAATATCTGTATGTTTTTTTTTTCATACGTCTATCTGTCAATAGGGGTTTCCAGGGCTCTGCCTCTATCCCTTATATATACTGAATTATACTGAATCCCTAGGCGCACTCCCGGGCTCAGACCATGACATAGTTGTTTCAACGTTGGAATTCGAGGCTGACAAAATGTCGTCCCTAAAGTATAGCTTTTTACGCAATTTCCGATCAACTCTCTCAACCGAATTACTAATACACCTTAATTCCTACGACTGGACTGATTTCTTCCTTAGTTCGGATGTAAATGTTTGCACTACAAAACTGTACGAAATTTTGGGTCCGCTTATTTCTCGTTGTGTCCCCCGTAAAAAAATAATTAAGGTTGGGTTTGAGGTTTTCCTAATCTTGCACTGTCGTCGCAGATTGCGCAGACTTTCTCGTCAATTCCATCTTCAGAACGACGTTTCTGTCCTGCCCTTGATTCGTGATATTTTGAAGTCCGACAGACTCCGCCTTCAGGTCTCAGAAGGTTCGAAGACATTCTTTAGGCATTCCACCCTCGGAGACGCAATTGGAAATCCTGGAGTTAATACCAGTTAACCGCTGATAGCTTCAATGCTTTCCTATCCAAAACGTATATTGAAGACTCGACCACTCCAGCCTCTGTTTAAGGCACCTTTTCTAGCCCCTCCCACTCGCGAGGACCGGTCGGAGTCCGTGTTCGTTGGCAGTACGAAATCGCTGCTTGTAACAGTTGGGAATCGAGTACCTCAGGACTCTATGCTCGGACCAGTAGTGTTTCTAAATTATGTCACTGACTACAAGAAGGGACTGTACTGAAAAGGAGTCATGTTAGCAGATGACACAAACGTATGGCAAGCGATCGACTGCGAGAACGATCTCACTGGATGTTCGCAGGTGTTCGTTTTAACCACAAGTTAATGGTCCCTCGGATGGGCCTGCTGAGAAAATGCTAATGGCGGACTCCACAAAGACATTTAGACGAAGACTGGGTGTCCATATGCTTAAAAATACCGCTTAACTGAAAAGAGCAGCTAAGTTTACCAAATCAACGCTTTGCATACACCTTCCGCTAATGGGGATGATTGTTACTTCATTTTATCATTATCATCCACATTTTAGGGTACTAGGTTCCGGTCCTGCAATTTCGACGACAACATTCTGCAAATATTCGTGTTACTGATAACATTTTAGTAACATGGTTATTTGACGTTTTCAGTAGGGCGTCGAAATGCTATGTGTATTACCCTCAAACATACTAAACTACTAACCTAAACTGCCAAAGCTTCTTGGTCGTTCATGACCCTCAGCAGGACGCTTGTTGCTTACAGCATGTTTTAGCTCGGTCAAACCATAATGATGCTCTAGCTTGCTGTGTTATTTAGGGACGCTCTGAGACATTTCGTTGCTTTCGGAAACCCCCTTCCGTCGTCCTTTTTACGTGCTAGAGACTGGTTAGGGATTTCACCGAATCCTGTAGATGCGTTAGCCAGTAATCGGAGTCATTTGTCTTCGGGAACAAATGTTTAATGGACCATCTGTTGGAACCTCAGCTGTTAACCCTGTAGTTTGGGCTGGGAAGGACAGAGATGGACAGTGCGGTCATCTGTCAGGATTTTAACAGGGATCCATTTCACTTTCGTCACCCAAAAATAGTTAACTTAAGATAGTGAACTCCCGCTATTTTTCTAAATTTTGCCACACGCGAGGGGAGTCTACACACTATGTGTACTGAAGACTTAAAGTAATATTAATCAGGTTTGCTTATAAATATGACTGTCCTTTCGAACCGCGTCATGGCTCCCTGCATTTCATTCTAGCTTGGTACTTAGGATTAGGAAATGAGCTAGCCGGGTCTCAATTATGAGTGTGAAAGAGCCAGTAATAACTGCTTGCGGACCTTGCGCGTTTGCACTGGTCTCCACCTCCCTGATATGCTCCATATTATAATACTCGCCAGTTGAAAGTTGTCGAGAAACGTTGGACTCATTTCACTCGTTACATACTTTAGAAATCACACTTACAAACTGATTCTGTTCAACCCGGAAGATCAGTTTACCTGCAAATTTTTGAAATGATTGGATTGAAAATTGCAATAAGTCCTTGGAAAACTGTATTACAGGGTTTAGGAAGCAACATTTTGACACTGAACATACTGAACAGCCTAACTCAATAACACGTGTCTTCCCAAACTTAGACATCAACGCGAATCTCAAAGGAACTGCGTCTGTATGCGCGCCTGTGCCCTATATGCGTCCTTTATTGCGCGAACAGTAGGCGTTTCGCGATTTATGCACAACCATGCGAGCAATTCAGTGGGACGACCTGCGAAGACAAGCGCGTACACTGGAGAATGATCTGGACTCTAAGCTTGCCTCTTTTGGCAAACTTGGAAGTGCCTTTGGAATGACAAATTATGGATATATGCAGTCGTCCAACCAGCCCGTAAATGACACCTCATCTGAGTATAATCTGCTGTCTTGCGACATTGAAAATCTTCTTGAGCGGTGCGTAGCACTCTCTGGTTTGTTTTCCGCTATTGTACTTTTTCCTCATGCTGTCCGTTATCATAATCTGACAATCTTAATATTCTCTCTTGCTTCCGCTTGGCCATTTATGGTCTCCGACTCTGATTGCAAAGACTTGTTTCTGAGCCCTTTTGTTATAAAACACCTGGGACGATATTATTGCCTTTAATTCTTTGCCGCGTTTGTTGTCTCCCTCCGCTGATTCCAGTGCTTGAATCAGTTCGTCCTGGCCACCGTTCATGCAAATCCGGCAGAAACATAGGATCCTTGCGTGGAACCTTTTGCCACTTTTGCCCCGCAGTTTACACTGTCGACTGTGTAGAAACATACGACAAGTTTGCCGAATAAGTTCTGAAGTAGTCAGCGGTCACAGCCGTGCTTATGACCTAAGGAGTGAGCCAGTAAACGTACTTCTAGAATCCACCGGGAAACATTTCACCCGGCTGCTTTAAGTCATGTTCTTCCATGTTTACAAATTAGCTGAGGTTTTTTCCAAGAAAATTTATACAAGAACGCTATCATTACCGGGGCCAGACACGTTTATTGCTTTACAATTGTAACCAGTTACGTTGATAATCGCGCATGCCACAGCTCTGGCCAATTTTCCTTAAAATTTCTAGTGTTCGGGTTAAATTCCTCAACATCAACTAACTTTTTCACTTAACTTTTTGTCGCCATTTCCACATGGCTTTTACCAGACTTGCGGGACATTAATCAGGGTTTTTTGAGAAAGTGACGCCCAGCGGAGGTTATGAACCAATCTGCTTACTCGGTCTTGAACTTCGCGAAGTTAATGACCGACAATAGGATTTCCGTGGTGTAATGCATAAAGTACTGCCATGCTCAATAGAATGCCTGTGGTTTAGTCTTCATATTGTCCCTTCTTTCTTGACGATGTTCATCAGCTGGCGTCAAAACTAAATGTCTTATCGTAACTTGACAATGTCCATACATTCCAGTTGACCTTTACCCATCTCAAATCTGGTCAATGCTATTTCAGTACCCCGGTCAGCGCGAAAGCGTTTGTGTTTGATTTTTCCGGTTATTTATTTTTCCTCGTTTTGCAACTTTGGCGCAGGTTATGTTGCTGTATACATCTTCGGTCTTCCTCTGTGTTCTCTTTGCTGTATAGACTGGCCCAGGTAAATGACAAGATGACCGAGCTCGTCTCGTCTCTTGAGCCTTCGGACGTGGGCAGCATCAGCCAACAGCACACAGCCAAACGGCACAGGGAGATCCTTTACGATTACATCCAAGACTTTAAGCGCATTCGTTCCAGCTACATTAACGCCAAGAATCGAGAGGAGCTCTTTTCCTCTGTAAGTGGATATCTCCCGGCAAGATATATGTTACGCTTCCAACTTCCTATTCTGTGCACTTGTGGATCAAGTTTCATGTGTTATCCACTTCGCGCTCCATGGCTTTCCTAGCGTTTTACGTATCCTTTTCTGCGGTTGGGGGACACGTTCACCGATCGGGTTACGGGACGTACTTGTGTCCTTGGGCTCAAGCTAGAGCCATCATAGACAGTTGCATAACAATTAACAATGGGTGCGGTTAATTAGTAACCGACAGTGACAGGGGAGACCAGGGGTGGCCATTTCTGGATTATTGGCCATCTTCAGCAAGCCATGCCCTTGCGTAGATTTGGGACCAGAGCAATTAAGCACACCGGGACGAGCACAGTCAGTAACCTAATTAGAGAGCGCCCTTTCACCATAGTTGATATGCTCAGCCAAAAACCGACAGGATGTGGACCCGTGCTCCATGGTAGAGCGTTGGATCACCTAACACTCAATAGTTATAGTTACGAGGTTCGACTCTCGGGTCCCACGGACCTAGGATTGGGACTGGCTATCTGACGACTAATAAACCAGAAATGGCCATCTCGTTCCCTCTTGTTTTCGTTGGTAACTCATCACCTGCCTATCCTTTTCTTGCTACTTCAGTCCAACGATAAGTTTGCTCATGTGGACCCGCCTAACTGCTTTTCTTGAATCTTTGTAGAATGCCACCACTGGAGTTAAGTACCAGAGGGCCGGAGCTTAAAATATGGGGTTATGAAATTTGCGCAAATGGAATTGTTTCTGGACTTCTGTTGTGTTAACTATACGACAATTGACTGTTAACACATCAGTAGTCAGGAGGACACAGATGAGGTGACAGCGTCTTCTGAATGCGTAAAATAGGTGACTGGTCGCATGCACAGACAGGGACAGAAACACATTGGCTGCTGTTGGTTTAAATGCCCGTCAAGTGTGACTGGTCTACATGCCGTCGGACGCTGGTTGGGGTCAAGCTACTAAATTTATCTGTTAGCCTAAAGAGCCCTCGCAATGACTGGCCTTGGTGATCGTCGAATACGTGGCTTGGATGCGCGTGCAAGTACGGACGCTTTGAACCGGAAACCTGGTGCCGCCGATGCTCTTGAACAGCTCACAGGCCTGTTGGAATGTACTACCGCACATTTTCCTCTGGTTGTTGCAGACCCCTTTTAGTTTTTATGAGCTTTGAGGGAACTTTTTATTTCCCTTTTTTCAGACGAGTGTTGTTTATGACAAAGTGTCTTGGCTCCTCTTTTAGTCCCTGACGAAGACACCGGAGAAACCTCGCCTGGACTCCACGCGTCTCCTTCTGGAGGAGAATCAGAGCCTGTTAAACGCAGATCAGGCTCTCTCTGAGCGTATCGCTGCCGCCTCTGCGATCCGGTCCTCCCTTCGTTCGCAGCATCATGTGCTGAAATCTGCCACAAACAGCCTGCTTAACCTACGTAATCGTTTTCCTATCGTTAACAAACTGCTCAATCAGATTTCCTGGCGCAAACAGAGAGACAGCATCATTGTAGGGACGGTATTTGGCTGCTGCCTCCTCTTCCTTCTTTTCTACCTCTTCCACTAATAACTAATATGCACCACCACCACCCTCCCTCCCTTCGACTTTGTTCCAGCACACATCCCTTCTCTACCAGCCCTCCGCCACCAAATTGGGGGTCTTTGCTCACGTTTGGCGGTCCTTTTGCCGATTCCATGCGCGTTTATCTGATTCGAGGTGCCTGTCAGACCGCCTTCGCAGTTCAAAATCGACTTGTGTTTGTGTGCCTGCCTGTGCGTCTGTTTGCACTTACTCTGAAGTGTTCTGGGAACAGCGCCCTCGTGGGCTGTCCTCCTCTCCGAGACTAACTACAGCCCCCTTGCGTCTGCGCGCTCTGATTGGCTAGACCACTTATTCCGTCAAGGACCCCACTTTCTTCCTTCCACTACGTCTCTTTCAATTGACTTCTGTATAGATATGTTTCTCTCATTAAACTGATTCCTGCTGCTTGCGCTGCGAGGCCATACTGTTTCCGGCAGTCTCCTCGTTGTAGATCAGCGTGATTGACCTCGACAATTACTAATACTGTTCTCCGGGTATCAGTGGCTACCTGCGCGTGAAGATACGTGGATAGTCGATCTCACGCTCTCCTTGCTATTCTGTTCTAGAGGCAGGACTAATTCAAGGTAAACGGTGGCGGACTTAGTCATTTATACTGACCTCAGACAAAGCGTTTGTCCAGACGTTGCACAACGCGACTAGTTCCTTGCCCCGTGACCAGACCGGCTTCTACAAAGCTGCTTCATCTACCCTTTTGTGAATTGCCTCCTCTCTCTATCTCTCACTCACACACAACCAGAGCTCCTTCTGGGTCTCGGCTGCTGCGCTTATCACAGTTTCTTAGATCCACAGAGAAGATCTGGATGACCTATGGACCAGAGTAAGATGACCGCTTTGGTGCTTCTCTCAGTCTATCAATGTGACTATCCATGTCGTTTTCGTAAGCCGTGTGATTGACCGAACAGATTTTGTTTGCGCCTGTGTCTGTTTCTCCCTGTTCGATCTGCGGTGCGTGTCATTGGTTTAATTTCTGAGCTAGAAATTCGCCTACTGTCCGGTTGGCTACCTGGCAACGCTCCTGTTCCCCATTTCTCTGAGTTCAGACACCAAGACGGGCTTAAACCGCTACCTCGGACGGTTCCATCAGGGACAAAGGCCTCATTGGACGGATGAGCGCATCACTGCTTTACTGTAGGCGGTGTAAATGATGAAATATTAACTGAAATGAGATTTCAGTTTTAGAGGACTTCGTGGGTGTGATTGTTATATTGATTAATGTGTTACACGACTCAAAGATGATGCAGTCAGGCTGGTATGCGTGCACTCGAGTGCGTGGCTCTTCAGCGGCTTTAAAAAATTGCACTTCGTACAAGATGCTACTTAATTTGCGCGACATTTTCATTTATTTTTTGCATTTTTATAAATTTAAACTTACCTCATTGAGATCATGTGTAAAAGTGTCTTTTCTTATACTCGGCTTGTAGGAACTTCCGCATTCAAGTGTTTTTACTCGAGGGATAGGCGTCTCCCTGCCTTAAAAACGTTTTTCAATTGTCGATTAATTTCGAAGTCTGTCTGCCGTTGCACTTACGCCAAGGATTTCCAAACTGCGGGTTGTAGGCTCTCCATTTGAGAAAAATTATCCATCCTTCCATGCTTTAAGGAGGATACCATATAGGACTCGAAATTCTACAGTATATACGACCCATGTCATACATTATATGAAGGACATCAATAAACGGACAGGTGCAATACTATCTCCATAAACTTTTAACGGTTCCAAAGAACTTCAGTTGTAGACTTTTTGGACCGAAAGTTGCCCCTTCTTCAATTATAAGATTTGAGGAAGCCATTTTTCTACAAAATGAATTTGAGGAAGGGCATCTTTGTGCATGTTTTCTGTAAAAAGTGTTTGGGCTTGTAAGGGCGTCGCAGGTCGGTTTAAAAATTATGCTATATAAGTAGGCACTTCCGAGAATTCGATTGAAGCAGCTTTGGATTATACCACATGATGATCGACATTAAAACTCCTCCCGAATAAATATTTTCTAACCGGAATTATGATTTAGGATTTCAGCTAATATTTCAAGAAATATGCCACCTACTGAGACTTGTTCCACTTGCAACTTAGTTTTAGATCCTCCCTCGGATCGTGGAGCGCGTATAACTAGTCCGGCTCTTTGCCAAGCTCATTTTTACGATGTTCCTCAACGGGGCGTTTCAAACCGACTGGATTTCCTGTTGATGAAGTCTGCTTCCACGCCCGCATAGTATCCCCTGGCAATTCTCTCGCGCCCTCGCCAGTCCAATCAAACGTCCTCAGTCTTATTTCTAGCCTACGACTGCGGGTGTTCGCCACATTAAACCAAAAAATGGCTATGTATAACATAGTTAGCAGCTGATGCAAACGCATGAAAAGATGCTGCGGCCACCCCGTAGCCCACATAACGGTGCATGTCTCACATTCGAGGAAACCTGGGCATTGGCCAAATTACGCTCTGTGGCTTTCCGCAGTCAATAAATCAATACTGTGAGTCCAGTGCATGTGTCTAGGCTTTTTAATAGACAGCGTGAATATAACACGCAAAAAGGCGAACTTTAATGTCTGAGAAGCGCATCCAGACTGGAGGTCTTTCATTCAGCTGTTCGAGTAGTTGCCGCCACCGCTGACCGGCGAAGACGTGGAGAACACCAAATACTCACCTAGTGGGCAATGACCAACCAGTTATCGGCAGTTACGACCTGCGCAACAGTCACATGGATGTGCCGGAAGTTTGGCCTGTCCGGGGAGTACCAGTTCCGGGCGAAGATTGTCCAATTCGATGAATGAAGTCTCGGACTATAAATGTGTCCATTCCACTGGGCGCTACTTATCCTTATTCCTTGACAAACAGCAAAGTTTCTTCACGTAAGGTAGTAGTTCGCTGTGATTTGTGCAGATATCCGTAGCCGTCACGGCCGAAGCGCGGAAAAACCTTTCACATCTGTCAACAGGTAGAGGCCTATAATTGAGTCGCAGTGGGTCTGCGCGAGCAGCGGAATAGTTTTCTTTGAGGCATCGTCAATAAACCGGTACGTTAGCCTCACCCTCATACAGATCCATGAGCAGTCATCTCCGGACCTGCCGGTGTTACCTCTGAGGCTGGGCGCCTCAGAGACTAACGCAAAAGTTGTTCCGCGGCCCGATCGGTCTTTTTATTCCAAGCTAACAGGACCATCGGGTACAACGAAACAGGTCACAAAGGACCTATCACACAGTAATTATTGGTCCACAAGTGTTGATTTAAACGAATTTCGACGATAATATCAAGACCAGGGACGGATTGTCTCCAAGGCGGTGATGAAATGCCTCCCAAGGTTTGAGAAGAGCCAGTACAAGAGAGGATAAACACTAGTCCATTTCAGTCACGATGAACAGCTCCGTTTAAGTACGTCCGCACGACGAGTAAGATCCTTGTGAACTACTTAGTTTCTGCGACCTGTGATACGCACGAAAAGCGCGCTGCAAAAGTTGGCGTTGGATGACACTGTGTCCCTGGTGTTCCTAGTTTCTGACAGCTTCTGATTGGTACTCTTCGGATGTCGGCCAGCTTTTGGATCTAAGAACATCAAGCGGAAGCGATATTGTTTCCCCTCTTCGAAATTATTTTGATCATAGATATAGCTACTTTCGGTCAGTACAGGATCGAGAAAGTGCTTTGAACTATAAGAGGGCAAATAAAAGAAGTAAGCAATTTTTCATTGGGAAGAATTTGGTAAGATTATACCAAAACATTTCAGTACCATGTTTATTTAAAGTGAAATATTGCATGTACCGTTTACAATAGGGTTTTCAAAGGCATTGCCTATTACTCTTAAAATATACTGACCAATTAGAGAAACCATCAAACTGTCAGACGGTCTAGCCCACAGTACATACTTGTACTTGATACGGCTGCGATCATGCCTGACCTATCCGTCCCCAATGATGTCCCGAACTGTACCTCTCCACGCGTGACGATCCGCGGCAGCAGATTTGGACAGTTCAATCCATTTTCTTCGCTAACGACGTAGACCGAATACCGAAGGTCCAAGAACCACCTCCATGTCTTGACGAACTGTGTCGAGCCAGGTTTTGAACTGACCCCCTCTTCGACGCCTCCAATTGGGCAACGGTGCCGGATCGAGGGCAGTAACACTGAGCTCCTGAGGTGGACGACGAAGAACATGCCCGAACCACTTCAGTCGTCTTTCTTGGATGGTCTGAGTTATCCTTGCGATGTTGTCGCAGCGAGCGCGGACTGTGTCATTTGAGACGAAGTCGGTGAACTTCACTCGATGGATGGTCCTCAAGCAGTGGTGCTCAAATACCTCCAGTTTTCGCTCGTCCTCCACACGCAAAGCCCAGCATTCACAACCGTAGAGAAGGACAGACCTGACAGATGCACGGTACACGGGAAGAGGAGTTGCCCGTTAGCCTAGCTGCTGGCTACCCGGCGCGTCCACAGGTGGCGGATAGTGGAACGACCTTCCGTGAAGGTTAGCTGCGAAATAAGCAGACCCAGGTCTGACGAATAAGCAGTCCCGGACCAGCAGCGACATTGCTACCAGGGTGCGGTGGGTTGAGGTCTGGCACGCTGAAAGCCTTACAAAAAGCCGCAAAACCCAATGAGGGCATTGTGACATGGCGACAGTAAACCGCCATTAAATAAGCTTACTTGCCACCGCTGCCTTGTAATTAGGCTTTTAAGCCGAAGCGCTAGATGAGACAACCTCGAAACAACAATCCAAGCGGCTGTTGGGGATCCGCCCGTATTCGAAATTCCCAAAAAACCTCATGAAACATGTCCGATCACAGTATTACGACCCATTCGACAGTCCAGCCGCTGCAAGCGACAATGTCCACTATATGCCTCAATGGGGGGCGCTTTAATTCGTTTGTAGTAGAATTCAATTGCTCAGCATCCACCGCAATCTCCTCCTAACCCACCTTGCTCCGATGGCAAGTCCGTTGGTGGACGCGGGTCCTGTGGCTGATAAAACTAAACAGCTCGTCTGAGCGTGCCACACACGACCTGACCTTCATTGCATGTATCGGGCTTCTGCAGGGGCGACTCGGATCCCACACCAGCCAGGATGCCATAAAGGTCACATTCGGCGGGCGATAATGCAGCCCTGCTCTCCAACCTGAGAACGGCCGATTTATCCCGTCAGTTGGCAGGCTTCCAAGCCGCGACTCTAAGCGCGTCGTGATGGATCCATGCGCGGCAGCTTTATCATTAGTGAGGAATGCGCTGATCCACCGTGGGCATGGGTTCCCCGCTATCGTTCTCTATCTCACCTCTCCCACACACCAGCCCACTGTCCTTAACTGTCAACCACCCGGTAATGGGATTGGACGCGTCGGCTGACGCGGCGTGACTACATACAGCAGATGTGCTGTCTCACGACATGTTAACAAAAATTCTGAAATGAGCTTTTACCCAGAGAAGATTAATTTTTTAATATTGATTATCATACAGCATAACTCCAAAGTACTTCAATCACTCGGGGATGCTTCTTTTTGGACATCTGGATAAGTCCCACTCGGCAAAATGTGACTACCCACGTAATTAGAAACTGTCCACTGATCCTCCAAACCCTTGTAAGCTCAAGTATATTTTATGGGAAGTATTCTTTCTTGCGCTCTTTTGGCAGTCAACTACCTGTACATCAAATTTTATACCTGAAAAAGGGCACTTTTCGGTGTCAAGAACTTTTTCCGGTTGCCGAATAATTCTGAACCTGACCTGCTGTTACACTTATATCCGGGGTTTCCAAACCACAACCCGTATATCTTCCGTTTAAGGAAAATCATACATTTCTGTGTGCTCTTCAAAAGAGACCACCATATGGTGCTCATGAAATTTTGCACTGGATGTCGACCATGCTGTTCACTTTGCAAGTACTGTTGATAAATGCACAGATGCGGTGTTTTGTAATCAAGTATTTCACAGTCTTGAAAGCCTCATAATTAGAAACTTTTTTAAAACCAAAATATATAATTTTTAAGGTACGGGCTTTGTAATCTGCTACCACATTAGTATGAGAAGGCATATACTTTGTCGGTATCACCTTCTCAACATATATCACTAGTCGCTGTGCGACTGCCTGCGAGGGTTTAAGTATGAGCCCCAAGGCACAACGGAACGAGCATGTTCCGTAACCTGATCGGTGAGCGCCCACTATCATAATATACTAAACACTTTTTATGGAAAACATGTTTGGATTTATAAGGCCATGGAAAGTCAGTGGGAAAAAATTTGTACTATTAAGTAGCTATTTGTTAAAGAGCGCAGTTTTTGCGGGCAGCCGCACAGAAGTCCTTTCAAAAGCCGACCTCCTGACACGACTAAGATATCTTGGGATTCTACTGCGTGATGATTAATGCCTCCAACCCTACTTAAGTACTTCTTTCGAATGGGGAACACGTTTCAGAATCTGGATTAAGTTTTCCATTAGATAACGCATCTACTGTGCGTCGAAGACATCCCACGCCCACG